GGCTAGGCCTATATACCATCCTAGCTAGTCTAGGCCTAGAGAAGGATAAGGCTAGCGCGACATGCGGACGTTGGTACGTGTTGGTTAGTCTACAAACGTTGCCTAAAGCAATTGATTTTACCCGGCAGAATGAAAGAAGGAAACTCCGCTTTTCAGTCGTCTTAGGCCCTTAATTTTTGACAAACAATGACCTTTCAGAGGTCAAATTGCTGTCAAGAATATGAATTGGCTGCTTCACAGCAATTAATTGTACTCGGTGCATGCCATACACAACCAAAGCAACAAAACAGCGAGAAATCATATGCAATTTTCAGTATTTTAACTTTCACTGGCAAGTTTGACATCAAAATGTGAAGAAATTCATTGGCTTTTGTATCGGTAAACCAACTTGCGTTTATGCATTTGCATTATGAAAAAAATAAGACAGAACACCAACAGTTTTCAATATAAAGCCCATATCTGTAACATTTATTTATTTCAACTGCTTCATTGGAAGTATTTCAAATGTTAAAAAAATGATTCTGATTTTGACAAACATATCTCAGGCCTACTCGATGACAGCTGTGTGCGAGAAGTACAAAAACTAATCTTGTTAGAGGTGGCACACTTTATCGCTCAAGTTCGTATCGACGATGTAAACAGTTTAGCAAAACAGATTAATTTTTTTTTCTAATTGTGGGATGAATTAAAATATGAGAGTTCATGACATTGGTGGGCGAGAAAAAAAAAGATAATGCAGCGCTTTTGAGAAACAATTACCCTGTCTACCTCCGATGCTCGACTGTATAAATATACACAAAAGCGTGATCATTCCAGCGGATGCAATCTACAACCTCTGAATTTGCATAGTAATGAAGAAGTCGTTGAGCAAATGGCAATCTCTTATGAGAAATAGTCTCTATTTCTCATTTTTTATCCTTTTGCGTAAAACTGAAAATTTATGCCAATATTTTTTCATGGTTTATCAAGTAATAAAGTAATGGATATGCGTTTCTCTAAAAAAAAAAAATCCTTTTTTTAGCTAGTTTTTGCCGGGAATTGGGCTTTAATATGGGAGCGGATCACTGCTTAGACTTGTCTATGTCTTGATGTTATTCCTCTTGCTTACCACCCCATGGGTAAACTAAGTAGCCGCTTAACAGGTCTCGCCCAAGTGTCCTCCATGTTGATTTATCATTTGTGATGTTGTCACTCAACGACGCAACCGTCATCACCTTCATTAGTGACATGGGTTTCATCTAGAAATGAAAAAAAGTATTGTTTAGGAATCTGATATTCAGAAATAAGTTATAAAATAAATACATTCAACTGGTTACAAAGTTGTAACCATTAAATTATTATACTTACTTTCAAGAGTAGCCAACTGTGTTGCTGATGGCGTTCTGTCGGCAAAGGGTGAAAGCTAATCCCTTCAACCATGAAGCCAGCCCTCACAGTCCACAGAAGTAGTGAATAAAATGGTATCCGGTTCATAACCGTGATCATCTTCGCAACAAATGACTGAGGAATGAGAACTGCAAGTCGTAACTGTTGAGAGATACCAGATTAAATTTAGCAACAAATCATTTAAAAAAAATAATTGGTAGAAGAGTGTTATTTATTCTTGGATCAGCAATTAAAACAAATTATAAAATCATAATTGTAGGTTTTACAATTCACTCAGGTTTCTCGTCATTTCCAAGAAATTTACAAATATAAAAATTTGTTAGGATGCGGTAATGGGGGTTAATTTTTTACTGGCTACCAGCAAAGTACACTATGTTTCAGAAAGTTCAAAAGAGTGCATTTGCAATTTATAGTAACTGAACAGTATATTCTTGTTCGGACATTAAGCATATACACACTTCATTTACTCTTACAAATTTTGGTCATGGGTCAGGTCGTCCACTCCATTAACCACACTATGTCTCACAGAATCCAAAGGAGTGCATTTGTAATTTATATATAGTAACTGAACTGTATATTCTTGTTGGGACAATAAGCATATACACACTTCATTTACTTCTAAAATTTTGGTCATGGGTCAGGTCGTCCACTCCATTAACCTTGGGACATCAATTTTAAAAAGGTGAAAAAGACAAGAACTTGCCAAAGTGAACACAGTGTAGAAGAGTGCTGTTGTTGGAAGAAGGAACAGGAGGATTGTAAAGAGAAGGGTTCCAAGGAATAGCTGGTCCACATGGAAGGCACAGGAATCCACACGTTGACGGAGAACGTTCCATTTCTTGCCTCGAAATAGATGCCAGAAGGCCATCAAACCATGTACTTGTAGGCAGTAGATCCTAAGAAATAAAATTGAAGAATAACAATTTAAAAAGAAAAGAACAGCAAGTGGCAAATGATTAAAAAAAATACAAAGAGCAACATCCAAATATTGCAGAGATCAGAATTCCATTTATTATTGCTTAGTTATTTACAGAGTGAAAACATTTGCCAATTAATTACAGTATTGCAATTATGGATCATATTAAGCGCTTCCGAGATGTTTATTATATGGCTCGAAAAATTGTTTAGTCCAATGAACTGTGGCCAATTCCTGCTGGCGCTGCCACTACATAGCAGGGGTATTATAGATGTAAAAGTTGACTAAGAAAAATGAATTCTAGAACCTGAAATTGGTAAGCTCTACACTTCATATTAGATGTGGAATACAAGTTCAATATAAACACAAGCTGACTAACACACCTTGCTGCATAGACATAGAAACAGTAGATGTGGAATGTCAGAATAGACAAGACATCAGAAGACAAAGCAATCACTACACTCAGGCCCAGGCATCCACAGAGGCTTGTAAACCTGATTGCGATGGCCAGGAACGGAGCAATTGCACCTAGGTAGCCAACCCAAAGGTAAATATGGTAAAGAAAGAAGTGGCCTAGGAATGAAGCCAGCTCTCTGTTCAGCTTTAACCCAGCAGGAGCACCCATCAACCAGCGTAGAAGCTGTTCAAGTGAGTTGGCGGTGGTCTGCAAAATAAACAGATTAAATATCAATACATTTTGTAATGCATAATAAATACAGATTTTCACTTAGAATGTATAAATAAACACGAGTTTCTTACATTGGCAAATTGCATAAATGCTGTTGCTAAGATGTTGGAGAAATCCGTCTGATGAAGAATCAGGATGAGAATGAGACCAACAGCAAAATCAAACACTAACATCAACAGCAAGTTCATTTTCCTGGAATGATAACAACACTAATTAACTTCAAAAGGTATAAAGGTACCATCTTGTTGACAGAGCGTCTGTGTGTATGTGTCTCTTTCCGGGCACATAACTCAAAACTATTGAACTGATTTACTTCAATTTTTGCACATTGACAATGTCACCTGCATCTCTGTCCTCGAATTTTGTGCTGATCAAAATCAAGATTTTAGAATGATATTTATATATTTTCTGGTCGCAACAGACGTACCCAACTCGAGCGGATCACTTGACCTGGTTTGGCTAGGCTGAGAAGACATTAGCAAATCAACCTGAATTATGGGCTTGCCACCCAAGGCCTATGATGCTAGGCTCATTTGGTTAAGGCCGAGCCAACTTCATCGGATCGAAAGCGGGCCATTACTTTTTCAGTACATAAATATGGCGCAACAGGGCAAGGATTTGCAATATCAGATTATTGTTTTGTGTAGAAGTTGGTGTTCAATCTACAATCATAACAAGAATTTTACTGTTGTCCATTTACCTGTTATAATCTCTCGCTGAATCTAATATAATAAACTCTTGTAACTGATTGTATTTCTCTTTCAGCTGGCATCCTGTAGCAGGCAAATGTAATACTGCATCAAAAATCCAATACTTAAATATTCTGCAAAAGAGCAAAATAATGAACTATGGTGAATTAGAATTCAACAAGCAAGTAATACTAATTATAAGGACATAATGTGTTGCACATTCACAAACTCAAATGCATTGCAAAATAAGGCCTAACTTGGGTATATCTTAACATTATACAAGTAAATTGGGCTCAAATTGTACAACATAATACTGTAGTAATACTGTGTCTAGTAATGGAACATGATATATGCATCCTTTGTAAGCTACCATTGTGGGTACCAATGTACTCTCAGCTAAGAAAATACTTTGTCTTGTATGTTTTGCCAAAAAAATAAGATAAATGATAATTAAATAATTATTTACTTTGATGAGAATACAGTGTTCAGCATCCGGGCGTAAATGTTCATTAAAAATGTAACTATCCCTAGCAGAAGCAACACAACAGAATGACAACTGCCTTGAAAGAAGCCGTTATTCTTTGATTCAATTTGTCCAAATCGTCTAAAATCAAATACGCTTTTCATCGAGTTCCAATTACTTAAAGAATCTATTGTGTGATCAACGACCTTGCCGTTCTGCGTACAGCTCCGCGACATTGGTGTTTCTACAGAATGTAAAACCTTGGCCCGATATTCAACGGAAGAATCAAATGCAATTAACATCAAATTCTGAACTGTTGACCAGGTATTGCACCGAAATATTTTGAAAATTACACATTCTGGCAGTACACTATTTCTAGTCTTTTGCACAAGCAAAAATAACTCATCTTCCCACACCAAACTCTTTATAACTTCTGTGTGACAGGCAATGTCTTCATCTTCCTTCACCAACAGTCCTACAACTTTTAATTTCCTCTTTGTGGAACTGTTTTCATGATCACTGGGTCCATTTGAAATTTTATACAAATGTGCATTTAAATCATGAATACCTTGCAAGGGTTGCTTCAGTGAGATTTCCTGGTTCACAACTGTTGTCACGGTTACTGATGACTGTTCGTAATTAACTACTCCAATGAGTAGGCCAGAGGGCAGGCTCCATGAGCTCTGTGGATAGAACAACTTCCAGACTTCTTGCGACATCTCCTGAAAGAACATTTTTCTATTGTTTAATGTAATACATTTTAATTTTATGACACTAAAGAATCTCATTTTTAACATCCTTATTCAATTGATTTACTTGTTCAATCAGTGTAATAGCAGGACATATTTTTATTGTTTTTTTCTCTATAGAATACATGCCTATAAATGCATAATTAGTGTTAAGCACAATGAGAAATTTATGCAAAAAAAGACATCAGATCGGCGAGTGAAGGTAGTTTATCGTCACTATATACTTCAGAACACATGATCATCATTAAAGGTCTTTGGTATCAATATTTTATAATTAAGAAATGTATCATTATTGGTGCATACTTTGTAAATTGGATTCATCATGCACAAGATTTTCTTACCTTTCCTAAATTCTGCGACATTACCAAATTGCTCACATATCCAGTTTGATTCCTTAAGAAAAAATAGTCATTTTTAATTGGTATTTTGTAAACTTCAGTTATATTTTACAAAAAGAAAAACAAGACATTTTTCAGATCGGCGAGTGAAGGTAGTTTATCGTCACTATGTACTTCAGAACACATGATCATCATTGAGTCTTTAAAAGAAATATTTTTGGAGGAATATTTATTTTTTGAACAGAAGTTTTGGTAGAAAATTGTAAATATACAAATTGGTTTGCTTCATGAAACTTAATGAGTTAAAACAACAAAAGGAGATTTATAAAAACCTTTTACATTTCTCAGTTCATGAATTGACCAGTTCATCTCACATATCCAGTCGAACCCTGTAAAATAAAACACTTTGTAATATATTTTAAGGAATTTTAGTTATTTATTTTTAAAAAAAATTTTAAGACCTAATATCAGATCGGCGAGTGAAGGTAGTTTATCGTCACTATGTACTTCAGAACACATGATCATCATTAAAGGTCTTTGGTTTCAATATTTTATAATTAAGGAATGTATCATTTACTGTATATGTATACTCTATAAATTGGATTTCATTATGTACAAAATTTTCTTACCTTTTCTGAATTCTGTGACACTAATACCAAATTGTTCCCTTATCCAGTTTGATTCTTAAGAAAAAAAAATGTTAATTGGTTTTTTGTAAACTTCAGATATATTTTACAAAAAGAAAAACAAGACTCTTCAGATCGGCGAGTGAAGGTAGTTTATCGTCACTATGTATTTCAGAACACATGATCATCATTAAAGTCTTCAGTATCAATATTGTATAATTAACAAATTTATCATTATTGGTAAAAACAGTGTTGCTTTGTGTTTGTTTTTTGAAAATTGTAGGACAAAATAAAAGAAATACTTTGTTAAACTTAGCAAATGTAAAAATTGGCTTTCATCATGCACAAAGTGTTTTTACCTTTTCTGAAATCTGTTACATGATTACCAAATTGCTCCCATATCCTGTTCAAACCTACAAAAAAAAAAAAAAAAATTTTAATTGGTTTTTATGTAAATTTTAGTTATATTTTACAAAAAAGGAAAGCAAGACCTTGTTCAGATCGGCGAGTGAAGGTAGTTTATCGTCACTATGTACTTCAGAACACATGATCATCATTTACAGTCTTTAAACATGTTTTCAGAAACTTTGCAAATGTGCAACAGATATTACACCAGTGCACAAATTACTGCTAGAACCTTTCTTTTAAGCGCTGCCAGAAAATATAATTAAAAAATACAAACAATTTCTCACCTTTTTCTCAGTTAGCCACAAAATCTACTAAACTTAATTCCTGAAAAATAAGAATTTTGCAATGGAGTTAAAGTAGTTAAGAAAATATCATTACTTTGTTACTCAAAAAAAAAAAAAAAAAAAAAAAAAAACTAAAACAAAGCAAGTAAAGACCTATGTTCAGATCGGCGAGTGAAGGTAGTTTATCGTCACTATATACTTCAGAACACATAATCATCATTAACAGGTCTTCGAGAGCAATACTCTATAGCCTGGTTCTCACGAGAGCCCTAGTATCCGGATCGGGAGCTAACCGTTAACGCTAACCGTTAGCACCTGCATGAGAACGCCCGATCGGTTAGCGCTAACCGTTAGCAAGCGCTATCGGTTAGCAAGTTGAGCGCGTTTACAATTTCCAGTTTATTATTGGCCAGTGATTCGATCATCATATTTTTGGTATCCGGATCGGGATTTTCTCGTATGGACGCACGGCAGCTAACGGTTAGCAAGATCCGGATCCTGCTAACCATTAGCAGCAGTGCGAGAACATAGCCTATATTAAATACATTATTCATGGTACAGCACTTCGGAAAATCTTTGCCAAGTTACTAATAGAATTTTTTTTTAATACAGTAAAAAGTGATACAAAAATTAAATACAAAAGACCTCTCACCTTATTTAAACAAGAATTCAATTCCTTCCATATTTAGTTCAGTCTCTGAAAAATTTATAATTTTAATCTTAAGTAAACACAGAGCTTTTTGTTACAAGAAAAATATCTGATGACTTTTCAGATCGGCGAGTGAAGGTAGTTTATCGTCAATATGTACTTCAGAACACATGATCATCATACCAAGTTTTTGAAATCAATATTTCCCAACAGAAAATTGCTTCTTTTTGGAAGTTGCAACACTAAATGGATTAAAAATGTATAAAAAGTATCTCACCTTTATTCCTTGCATATCCAGTTCCTGAAATATTAAATTATTTTTAATTTAGTTATTTTGCTTATACAATACACACATGCCATGAAATATTGTTTTATCATCAATACATTATTCAGATCGGCAAATTTGTTATATCACAACAAGGTTCAATTATATTTAATCATCATGATAATGTATTGAAATTAAAATAGTTCTTATCCAAAATCTTTAATAATTTTAGCAATTAAAAAATCATTATCAACACCTTTCTAGCTAATGTTAATTTAGGTCAGGTTAAGAGGCACCTGATCCGCAAAAACCTGCCAGGGTACATACCACCAACTTCAGATTGGCGGCAACAGTGCAACCTATACTTCTGTTAGGTTGCTACCTTTGGGCCCCTGGAACTGTGAATAAATACCTCTGCCTTGTAGGTACTATATTTATTCATAGCTTTTTGTTTAACATTCAGAGTAGTTATTCATAAAACATATATTTCGATAATATATTTTGATAATAAAAACAATCAGATACAATAATACATACAGACATCTGTCCATATTACGCAAAAACTAACAAATGTATCACAAAAATTAGTGGAGTGGTATATCTAAGAAGTGATTACATTTTTAGATAAAAAGGTCAAAGGACAAGGCCACAGAATTTCAAAACTTACTCCTCATAAATGAGCTTTCATATTCTTCTCAATCTGCTTGATACAAAGTCTGTAAAAATAAAATAAAGAAAATTTACACCGAGTACGGAAATGGTTCACGAGGAGCACAGAATCGCGAGAAAGAGAAACTTGACATTCCAAGATGTTCTGTTCCGAGAAGTTATTAATAGTCAGCCAGACTGAGCCCCCAACAATGAAGTTAATCCAAAATGAAAGGAGAAGAATGTATTTAATGATATATTTTCATAAAGTGCATTAACATAGTAAGATTGAGGTTTGGGTCAAGACGCTTCACCATCAGATTTACTGACGTTTGTTGGCCTAATATCCACGTTCCAAATTTTTTATATCCAAAATAGTCTTAACTGTCCCCAACAATAGCAAAGTGGGTGTGGTCAGGTGTCACTTAAAATATTTTGAGTGGTCCAGAGGGTGAATCACCAAAAAGTTTGACAATTTAGGGGTTTCAAAGGCTTATTTAATCAATTTTAGAGTCTAATAATAATATGTATAAAATACATACAATTTGTTTTTCTCCCAGACAAATTGTGGTTAGTGCTAACCGATAGGGTGTTCTCACGCAGGTGCTAACGGTTTGCGCTAATGGTTAGCTGCCGATCCGGATACTAGGGCTCTCGCGAGAACCAGGCTTAAGACAGGAAGCAAAATAATTGGATTGGAAGTTAAAGATATAAATACAATTTGTGAAGAGGCTATATTTAAAAAACTAGAATCAATTAGAAGAGACTTTACTCATCCATTTATATACTAGGTCTGGTAGGATGACAACTTAAAAGGTAAAAACAAACAGGCATAAAGGTGCTTTTCTGCCAAGTGCAATATGCTATTTAACAATAGGTTTTCTAGACACACTGTAAGTAAATTAGTTTAACAATAATATATTCAAGCACTTTTTATGTTTTTCTTTTATTTTTATATATTTATATGTTTTAACAATGTAACCTATAACCAGAAAATAATTTCATATTGCTTTTATATGACAAATAAAATGAATCTTAAATTATTTATGCATGCTGAAATACATTAACATTTAACACACACAATGTAGGCTAGTCCTAGCTAGTAGGCCTAGGCCAAGTGTGCAAATTGATTGGGAAGGATTACTGATTTGTCCAAGCAAGTCTAGCGAAAAATTGTAACCACTCCTTAACAGTGGTGTATCTAGGGGGTGCAAGTCCAACCACCCCACCCACCATCCCCTCCAAAATAAATTTTATAAAAACACTGCCCATTCATTCAACCAATCATCCACCAAATTCAGGACTATAACATCACACAATAAAATAAATGTTACTGAAAATTAATCAAAAATATTTCTGTAGATGACAAGTCAAGATTAATTACCACGAATTGTTGGGAGTTTTAGCCTGCCATGTAGGTAGGGCCTACTGTGTAGGAATAACCCTAGGCCATAGTTAGGCTGGCTAGCAGTAGGACTACTGTTGTATATGCCTAGGGCTAGGCCGGGATCGCTAGACTAGGCCTAGTAGTGGTAGTCTAGCTAGCGAGCCTAGATTGCTGTATCATCATGTTTAATAAGGTAGAAACAAGTAGTATAACTATGTTTAAAATGTCATTCCTTTGAAATTTCACTCATGAAAATATTATTTATTTGAATATTAAGGCTTAAAATGTGAATTCAATGTTTCAGTTTCACATTTTAAAATAATGTTTGTTGAACAATTTCAAACACTAACCTATCTCCACGCATGGCAGCAGGTAAAAGAACGAAAGCACGTGGTCGTGCGACTGGCTAGCTGGGTGGGGAAGCTCGTACGTCAGCAATGACAAAAGAGGGCGACATAGATGTATCAAATCAAATCAAATCAATTTATTGGAAAACGCTTTTGAATCAGCGGCACCGTGTTACGGCCTAACAGTCAACTAAACTTCAACAACTGAAAAAAGTTGCACATGAGTAGCATTGTATAATATATAAACCAAAAATAAGACACGAGACGATATTGCATATGTATAATAAAAATAAACTGGCGTACTGTACATAAAAAAAAATAAAATAAATAAAAGAAAGCGAAAAAGATACTGAGATATACCCGGACTGCTGTACCATTGAGTAGGTTGTAGCAGGGAGGTGTAAAAATGGTTGTAGTTTGTTTCAGGTTAGTAGTTATTTTACTCAAGGTCAAGTCATTAAAAATCAAATCAAGTCACCTTATGCGCGCCCTAGTACTGTATTAAAAATGTATTCACGAGTTACACCGGTTGTATGCTTCTGGCGAATACATTATTATTATTATTATTATTATTATTATTATTATTATTATTATTATTATTATTATTATTATTATTATTATTATTATTATTATTATTATTATTATTATTATTATTATTATTATTATTATTATTAT